TACAATATTTTACCATTTTAATGATTTTCTACTGTCAACGACAACAAAAAAAAGGAGCAAATAATATATTCTAATAAATCTTTTCACCAAATAGTGAGACATTAATACATGGAAAGTGATTAGTGATTTGCTCTTCACACTAGATTTTGCAATATCCATAAGAGCACAGCTGAAGACTCTGGACTTTGCAACACAATGCATTTTTACAAGCAGTAGCTTTCAAAAGGAGGTATAGTCTTCATTTAAGCTTTCCTGCTGCTTAAAAATCTATATGCAAACTGAAAATATACTGTAATTGAGCACCGTTGCTGGTTCTTCAATACATATAATTCTCCTGTTATTTACCAATAGTCTGACACAGCTCCTTGTCATGCTCTGGATTTGTAGGATACCTTGACAAGAAAAAATGCTTCAGTAACAGATGTGACATATTCCAAACAGAATAATTTCAGCATCTGTAATGTGCACATCTGCAGAATAGCAAACTTTTAAAAGGGTAGACCTACAAAAGAAAAACAGATTAAGGACTAGAGAGAAAAACAGAGAAATGAAACAGAGTGAGAAAATAAAATGAGAGGAAAGAAACAAAGGATATAGAGAATGGATGAAGAACTAGGTAGACACAGAAGGAAGGGGTGCATGCAAATACAACAAGTGAAGGGGCGCTTCACTGGAAGGACAAACAGCAAAGCCTTAAAGCCCAGGAAATTGTTCCTAAATTGGAAAGGTGGACACCCAGCTAGCAAAGCTGGTTGATACATTCCCTGGGGAATAGTATACATGTAGCCTGCCACAGTGCTCCCTGCTTCCTAACATTCTGCTATTCTTATTAATTTCTTATGACAGTCCTATATTTGAGTATAACTTAATTCAGTGGGATTACTACATGAATTATTGCCTACAGAAGCAAAACTGTACCAGAGAACTGACCTAAATCACTCCTGCACCAACGTGTGCCGCTAGTGGAGCAATCTTTCACAGCAGCATTCAAAAAAAGTACTATCCTGTCTCTTTTCATATTGAACAAAAGTATCAGTAAGAATGAAAGCCAGCTATTTATCAGTTAACATTATTATTTGTATAATGTATCAATTAATAAAAAAATCTATGGTCCTACTCTGCTGACTCATATAAAAATGTAGACAATTTATTGTCAGAAATGATAGCAACGCAAAAAAATCCACAAAAGATGAAATAACATGTAAGACTGCACAAGCCTGTGAAAAAACTATATAGCACACAAAAAAGCAGCCTCTAAAGTTAGAGGTGCCTGGAATTTTTCAGATGCTAGTGTTCTGGAAGCATTAAAACTGGGAAAAAAAGGGAATTGAAATTTAATCAAGATAGTAGCCCTTAACATTGCAGCAGTGAAAAATACAGAAATACAGCACACCTGTATTTGTTTAGAAGCTATTCAAAAACTGTTATTGATCTCTCATGTAAATTTTATGGGATTAAGTTCTGTCTTTAAGAAATACTAGGGAAAAATCCCATTCAATTCAATAGGATTCACCAATGTTTACAATTTATGCTTTACAGTCTGCAATTAAAAAGTAACAATTACTTCCCTCTCTGAAAGGGAGAAATGTATTTTTTTTTTTTTTTAGTGTTTCTCTTTTGGCAATTTTTAAGGATTAGCTTATCAATTTTGTATATAATGTATTAGAGCTGTATAGCAACCAACTTACAGTTCTTTTTACAGAACGACTATTGCCAAGAAATGCTGCACATTCATGTTATTTGAACCAACATCGTTCACCTCAGTCTTATTTTTAAATGAATTCTGCAGTCTATGAAAACTAATACTGAAACCATAGCAGCCATTTCTGTTCATAACAGAAGTTTTCCCCTTTCTCCTGATGTCAGCCTCAACATTGACCTATATGTAACTGCAGTTTAAAAGGACCATTTATTTCACTGCCTGACAGACAATTTTGTTTTGTAAACTTGCAGGTCTGAAGAACACAGTGAAGCAATTTAAGGATGTACAAAACCAACATTTCAGCAATGGTATTTTCTGATTGACATGAGACAGAATTTCTAGTGGTGTAAGGTTTTATAGAGATACCAATCTTCTAACCTAGCACAAAATAAGAATAGTTTGACTTTAGTATGCCACGCAGTTCCATAAAAATGGCATGAAGTGAACGGTTGCCATAATATTTTTAATGAGACACAAGCTCAGTAGCGACCTGACATCTGATTAACATTTGAAAATTTTAAAAAAGTCTGTATTTCAAACAAGGAAGACCACAAAATGCCACCTCTTCTGCAACACAAGACATTGGCTAAAGGTGAAGGCATGACAAAGCATAGACCAAATTGCTACCAAAATTTCAGCTCTGACCAGCCAACAGTTAGTCATTTGATCTGCAGTGAGTAGAAGACAGGTTTTAGGCTGCACTCAGGGAAAAATAGGAGAAGGAGGTGCAATATTTTATTCACTAGGTTTGTAATTCACGGTAGGAAAGAAGGTGCTTACGTTCATATTTTCCTTTTCTTCTCTCAAGCAAAACACCAATTTCTATTTATGTTTGGTTCCAAAATTTTTTTAAAGCTGTCTCTCCAAATTCAAACCAGATAGCTTCCTCCTGACCTTAACTGTGTTACTAGTCTAGCTATAATAAATAGTATTTCAGTCCCAACAGTGAAATTATATTAAGACGACTAATTTCTAAGCAACAGAAATGGGAAAAATCTGAAAAAAGTTTCTCAAACATGAAACCCAGAATTACTTCTATCAACATGAAATCAGGACTGATATACATCCAGCTCTCAGCAGACCCCAAAAGATAGGCACTGAACTATTACAGTGTTTAGCCAATTAAGACTCAAGTTCTGGATGCTGTTGCTTTGAAATGAATTGTGTTCCACTAAAATCCATTACATTGCCTAATAAGCAAGCATTTTCTAAGGACTGCTTAGAGCAATAATTCTTCATAATCTAAAAATTAAACCAGAAATTGCTCATGAAACTTTATCTGCTTGTTGAAAAACTACAGCAAGCGCTGGTAAGAAAGCATTGTAGTACTTACCGTACCGCAAGCTCACAAAAACCTGTTCAGTACACAAACACCAAAGGGAGGTGGAACTAATCATGAAAGTTCATTTCTAATAACAAAAATGCTATAAACAAACTGTAAAGAAAAATAACTTACAAGTATTTGATACCAAGGATATTTTGTACAGAGGTTATGATGCTTCTATACGAGACCAAGAACTTGTAACTGCTAATTCAATTCAGTACATATATTTCTCCTGATTACAATCCTCTAATTGAGGCTTATTACTTACTCTGCATTTGCAGGTTCTCTTTTGATCCAAAACTTGCTTAAGAATAGAAACTAGAAATTATTTTATTTTTATGACACCTCATTTTGTCCAAAAATAGATTAAAAAAAACCAAAACACCTATTGTATTGTGGCTTTATTACTCTTTTTTTATTTTCTATGCTAGTAATTCCTTTTTCAGAGGGGTTTTTTATTTTTATTAAGGAAGTTAAGAAAAAAGCAATGTTGCTTTTCCTAGGGAAAAAGGAATTTACCAGCAGCAAACTCATTACTTTTCTGCTCAAAAAGCTGCTTGTCTCATACTTGGAAATCTTTTTCTAATTGGGACTTTGTCAGGGGAAAAAATAGTGTCCTGTGAGACCAACAAAATGTTTCTGAGATTTTTCATGACCTTATGCATTTTGGCAGCAGAGAACGGACATTTTTGTCAAGTGGAAACATTTGTTTTGATAACTGAACAATTTTATTTATTTATTTAATATAAGGAAGCTATCTTTACGCCTTGGTACCTACAAGCATTTCCTTTACTGTATTGAAAAGCCTGTCTGGTTTTAAGTATGGTTTAGATTAAAAACCTGCCCCAAGAAAATTTTGCTTTTTATTACAAATGCTGTATTTTTGTTGTAAAGTTATTCATTGGAAAAAAAAAAAAATCTATTAGCAGATGACTCATTAGAAATAACTGCACTTCCCTATTTTGCTCTGTGGACTATAAAACTATTATGGGATATTATGTTAATGTCTTTTGGGAAAGTATTAACAACTACAAATTCTGCCTACACAGTTTGTTGTTTAGCTTTGTTTCTATTTGCATAAAGCCAGTCCTCTGGCCTGCAAAACCTGTTAGGAAGGGAAAGAAAAAACAACCCAAAACTCAAATCTACCATACTTACTATCAATAATTTTGTTGACACCATTCAGGAATTCCATAGACTCAAAATAAAATCACAGTCCTTTTTCTCCTTTCAGAATATAGTCTCTTAATCCAAATAATATCAGAGAAGTTAAAATTTAGTCCATTCATCTGGCAAATGTTTCCCTCTGTTTCATAAACATGCATATCACAGAGAAAAATTGTTCAATTTAAGGTTCCTTACATGATTAGAGTGTAAAAAATCATCATAGAAATATGGTTATTCTCAGACTTGATAATTTCTTATATTGTACTTAAAACGTAATGTATTACATTTCCATAAAACAAAGATTTAGCAAAACCAATTGTGTTATAAGCAGCCAGTAAATACAGTTAATTGTCTAGGAGGATTATAAAATAGAAAATCGTGTACTACGGACAATTATGTTCCAGCAGTCTCACCACAAGTTGGAGGCAAAATGTCAAGAAAACTAGGAGAACGCAGGGCAAAATATGTGACAGCTTATCAGAAATACTGGTTCAAAAATTCTGTGGCTACTGTAAGTAAAATAGCCCATCTAGAATAATACAGTACTACAGGTACCATTTCCTCTATGTATGTTTACAACCTGTAGAATACTTCCTTTTTTAACATTCTAGTTAAAAGTTATATCCTATAGGAAAGACAAAAAACGCACACTAGAGTATATGATGACTTTTTACACAACAATAACTAATCATCACATTTCATTAATAAATTATCAAGCGCTTGCAAGCTGTCCACAATCTTTTTCATCTAGTTTGCATATTTTATAATGGTGGAATAACATTTTAAAAAGTTTGAATAGGCACTTACTGGAATTACAGTTAATCCTGATACAGTCTAGATGGGGAAGAATAGATGAAAAATGAAAATTTATCCTTCAAGGTAACAGCTGCAGACATCCAATAAAATCACAGTCCACCCTTCCGGGGACAGACACATGCAAATATGGCCACTCCATATCATCAGTCTTTACATACTGTTATAACCCAGATATACTGCGATAAATCTTTATAAATAGAAACGACAAATAGGGTAAAAATGGCCAATTTCAAACAAAGCTACATGGTGACAAATCTAAGTGAAAAATCAGGATTAAATGTCAAAGATGCTTAACTGAGGCAGGCTGCAACTTTCTCCCCATCTGTGAAAGAACAGGTAATTTCTCTCAATGCAATTAGAAAGTGCTCCGTCACAATGGGTCATAGAGCAAGCCAGGCCACAATCAGACATCTTGGACGACTTGTGTATAGTATACCTCAAAGGCTGATCTTCCAAAACTAAGTATTAAACACAAAGCTCATTACCCAGGCCTATAAATAAGGTTTTGTGGGTTTACATTTTCTCAATGCATAGACTGAAGAAATGAACAGTGACTGCATTTAAAGCTATATTAATATAGAGAAAATAATCATATATTTATAAATGCTTATAATTAGATAATCCTGTCTATTTTCAGATTATTTCCTTGCCTGACCAAAAAAAAAAAAAAAACCAAAAAAAACCAAAACAAAAGGACGAGTGTTGGAGGAAGAAAGAATATTGCTAGGGCATGGATTTATTTACTTTCTTGAACTGTAGAAGTAGGCAAAATCTGACAGAAGGTGGTGTTTTGTATATTAGGAGAAAGATGTGATCTGTAGCAGGACTACTGCTAGGCTACCTGCATTTTTACCATAAAAAAAAAAAAATTCTACGCCACACTACCTGGTTTGTACAGCTACTCCTGGTTTATACCTTTGAGGAACATATATACCATCAAACCTAGATTTTGTTTCCATATAGCTGAGTTTGTCATGTGTCGTCAACCGCATCAGAAAAGTGGTTGCAAACAGCCAAGGACCAGCACCCGCACATCCCCTTTTACAGAAAGGGCTCCAGAGGAGGGGGGGGCTCTGCGCCGCCGCTGGGCGCTGGGGGGGGGCCCACAGCCCTCAGGGGTCCCGGCTCAGCACTAGAGGGGACTGGCAGGGAAAAGCAACCAAGGAAACCCTTCGCTTCTCCTTCGCCCTGCCGAAACCTAAACACCAGGACAGCATGTCAGTCAGCAGCACTTTTAGGAAGCGGGGGGGTTAAGTGATTTTGGGTCCCATCCCCCCCCCATGCTGTCTGGAAATAATTTTATCTGCGATTAAAACAATAAAATACTTAATTCTCTTTAAAAATAGCATTCCACTGAATGGGAATGACTGCACTGAATGTGCATTTTCCTAAGCGTACTTCTGTTCTTTTTCAGGTCCTGACTTATAAGCACGGCAGAAGCACCTGTGTTTATTTACTTTATTTTAAACTAGAGAAAACCATAACCTAACATTTTGTCCATCATATTTCAACCCAGGAAACCAATTTTTTTTTCTGTAAAAGGGCTTGTGCATCCTGTGTTCACACGGCTGTTTGCTGAGGGCCGCAGTCTTTGGGCATTGAAGGGTTGTGTTATCGTTCGATACTACAAAAATACCACTACAGAATTGTTTAAAAAAGAGGAGATGGATTTACTATAGATTTGACACCTAAAAAAAGGAGACCACGAAATCCATCAGTGGGAATATCTAACTGCAACATTTTCAGTGTTAAAACAAGAAATTCTTTGATACGTTTGCATGTTGTACGTTAATTGGTGGAGGTAAAACTGAACTGACCTACATACACGTTGTTTCTGCTTCCACATTTAAATTGTGGAATTGCTGCTGTGAAGAAGTTGTGGAGGGAGACCAATCTTCCACAACGAAGAATAACAATTTAGCCCCAAAATACCACTGATGAACTAGTCTTCTCTTTTTAGAATACACAACAGTACAAAAATATTGTGATGGATTATGTTAGGACTATATAAAGAATACAAAAATGCAAAAGAAAACAAAATAAAGTATAATAATGGGCATGTATTTGTGTGTGTATGTACATACGCAAATGTGGCATTGACATGTGTTTATATATCATTTCAGTTTACTTTTGATGTTAAAACAGGCTGTTTCGTAAATGTTTGCAAGCAAAAAGAAAAATGTAAAGAAAATGTTAATTTCTTGGAGGAAAGGTTTGTTACCTAGGTTGACCGTTAGTTTAACTCGTCCTGCATCCAACTCTAAACGAAGGGTATCTGCAGATTCCCTAGAAGTAGTTGCCATTAAAATGCCGTAAGCTCGCTGAGACCTGAACCGTAAAGAAACATCTTCGGCCTCTGTATGCATCACAACAGGGAGCTGTATTTTCATAAACATACTTCCATCATAGCTTAAAATTGTTGCCTCTGAAAATATAAAGGAGAAAATCAGTTATTAAAGAATTATATTGTATGTACTGAAACTGCTCAAAGAGAAGATGATAAATGTATATTCACTCCATATGACAGAAATATTGCATGTTACATATCACTATTATTACTGGGAAACATAAGTGAAGTTAGGTTTGTTTTTTTTGTTAGGTTTGGGGGGGGGTTTTGTGGGTTTTGTGGTTTTTTGGTTTTTTTAAGTGGCATATTTTGGTGCTTTTTAAAGAAACTAAATTGCTCTTTAATGAACCAGCTATTCACGTATGCATCTTCAAGCAGATGTGTAAAATCACGTGTAAAGAAATCCTTGCAAGACTACGCCTGTACTACTCAAAACAGGTCAAAGACAGTAAAAGATATTCAGGTAGACCTCACAGCCTATTAAAGGATCATGTCTGACTATTATCCACCTAGATAATTACCTTAGGATACTTCATGTATAAACCTATCAGTGCTGCTACTATCGCAGTTACAATTATCATCCAGTTAGCATAAAAGCCACCTGAAACAGGTAAATATCCCCAGCATGGTTTGGACGGAGCGCAGATTGTTTCGTGACCACAATGACTGCGGTATGATAGAATCAAAAACGCGCGTACGAACATTATGACAGCCTCAACAAAAGGATCGAGACTGGACTTGGCATATTGAGGGTAAGATCTTAAAACCCCTGAGACAAGCAAGTAACTGTCACTTTCAGACATTACAGGAAACCCTCCCAGCAAGAGGCTCTGGCACAGAGCGGTCACAGTTGGTTAGACCCCAGAGCAACGAGCCGCAAGTCTTCTTTTCCCAGCCTCCAGGCTGGTAATGAGAAAAGTAGCAGAAAAAACTGCATTTCTGCTCACAGGGAGGCCCAGCAGTTCCTAGAAAGCAAAGGACACATCTGTTTCTGAAACATATTAGGAAGTCCTTTTTTGCAGGACGATCGAGCATTGCGGCCAGTTCACCCCCACAGCCTTCGGAAAGGGCTCTTGGACTCCTCGACAGTGGCACGTCGCAGTGGAAGCAGCAGTGAATGAGCAACAGCTTTTACCCCAAGCCAACAGTCAGTGGGCAGACTACCAGGAATTTCAGCAGGCTCCCCAGTAACACCCAAAACCAACTGCATAAGTAAAACCGCTACCTGGATGGCAAAATGTAGTATCTGAATGTGCCCCATTTTATGCACATCTACGTGTTTACCTACCACTAATTCGCTAGAGATTTTTCTAACTTCTTCCATGTGTCTCCAACAATCTTTAACCCACCCCAAAACTCTCAATCTTAGAAATTCAAGTGGTAGATGATGAGGTCTAAACAGGATGCTACAGAATCTTTCTTAGAAAAAGATACAATCCTGAGGGCTCCTAAACTCACTGAAAAGAATACCAGTTCCCTGCCCAGTAACAGGCCAAATGAGCAACAAGCAGAAAGAGACAACAGCAGAGAACACCTACAGGAACCTGCTCTTAGATATAACAGGTTAGAAGAATACATTTACAGGTTTGATGATTTCTAACTATGCAGGTAATAATGATTTCTAAATATATATATTATAAACCTAAATTTTTTCTGTGAAGCAGATCACACACTTAATTCTCATCAGCCTGATAAGAGATTTGAAGTCAAAGAGCTTTCAGTGGCAGGGGATTTGTTTTTTGATTGTTTGGTTTTGTTGGTTTTTTTGGGGGGGGTTGTTTTTGGGGGTTTTTTTTGTTGGGTTTTTTTTTTGCGGGGGGGGAGGAGAAGCAGGGGATCACAATTCATTCCTGTATCTAGCTGCCTAGTCTGTGCATGAAAAGCTCCCAAGTTCTTTATCAAGATAAACACAATTTCGGTAATTAAAGAAGTCCAGCATAAAAGTTTAAGTCACATGCTAATGTAAGAGAAAAAAGGTATTTTATATTGTCTATTAAAAAGACATATTAAAAGTATCCAGGGTTTTCATAAACTGAGCAAAATCAGACGCTATAGGATGAACAGCATTCAACAACCCTAGAGGTCTGTTGCTAATAAATTATCTTATGATAATGTAAAAGAAAGTTGTCAGAATCAGCACTAGTACTGTTTGCTGGCTTTCTATAATTATTCAGTCTTTTAGAAAATTACAGAAAAAGAAGAGAAGGAACCGTCTTAATTTAATCAGAGATGACCTGTGAGTATTTAACATCATGGTGAACAGACCTGATGTGATTAGATACTCAATCCTCCTAAACCATACTGTGCCAGTTATTTTGGAAACAGATGTTCCAAGAACAGACCAAGGAGACTGAACAGAAGATCAAATGGCTTAAAAGCTCTGGGGCAATGAGAAAACCCCCTCATGTCAACTAGCTCCTTTCAGTATGGGGAGCTCCAAGTCACAGGCTTTCTAAATACAAAGGTATGACAGAGAAAAAAAGAAAAACAAACAAACCAACAACCCCCCCCCCCCCCAAAAAAACCAAACCACAAAACTGGCAGGAAGCAGGGATGATTTGATCAAAGAAGATTTAGCACTGTCCTGAGAGCTGTAACCAAAGATCAGAGGCACTACTTATTCCCAAAATAAAAAATACAAGTATGTTCACTTTACTCGCTTGAAGTGAGTCTGCTGGTACAAGTATTGTTAGGAAAACCTTTTGTTGTTAAACCATTATTAAATGATTGCTATGTTAAGAAGGTTGAATAATATTTCGGCAATATTGTGTTCCTGTCCAAGGACGGCAAGCTGGATTTTGCCATATGAATCATCCATTCAACTCAGCATCTCTTCCACTTGACTCTGCACTGCTCTCAGCTCTGTAAATGTCTATGTTCTGTTGGTCTTGGCTGGACAGAAGGCATCTAGTAGTACATTTACTAGACCTTTGACAGCACAAGGAGTTCCCTCTTCCCTTACTGATGTCTGTCTTGTAATTCTTTGTGGCAATGCCTTATTACCCTGTCATTATGCTTGGTGGCATACATTAACAGAGAACTTTGTTTTCCAGACAGGAGGAAAAACCAGTTTTCAAGATGAAATAAGAAGGCGTTGCTTTGACTTTCTTAGACCTAGAGATTGTTTCAGTTGTTTAATGGAATTGTTTTCATCCTGCAGTTACTTTAGCTGTCCAGAATGGATTGTTAATTTGCCAGGCCTGGTCAGTAAAATGGCAATCTGAACAAGGAGAGGCAGTGGGGCTTACACCAGTTATGCAGTTCTCGAAAGAACATTCTGGATAAAAGTATATATTAATTTTTGCCCCTAACTTTTACTTTTTTTGCTTTGGACCAACTAGTTCCAAAGGGGTATGTGTCTCATCCATCTTTGAGATCTACACTGCTAACTGTTATCACATAAGTGTTGGCAGAATGTCTTTTTTCTCTTGTTCAGCTTCTTAATTATTAGATTAAATGCTAACAGACCATAAGCTTAGCCCAGAATGTGCTATTCATTAAAAGAATCAGAGTCTCCATGGCAGGGAATGATAACTTTACTACCACTTCAGTGTTGGAAGCATAGTATTGAAAAGAAAAATAGCAGAAAACCATTATAAAACATTACTGACAATTTTTTTGTGGCAGCAAAGAAGCGCATGCAGTAGAATTATTAACAAGAAATAAACACTAAGATATAATTCAGAGATTGATAAAAAAATATTTTCTACATTCTTTCTTCAATATTTTTATAAACCTGACAATTAAAACCCCTTGCTGCTTCTGTACTAAAAACCAACCTAACAAAACAAAAAAACACTGAAGGCTTCAGCTTCCCTCTCCATTTTTTTTTTTTTCTTCAATTTGTTTCTGATTAAAATCTCCAGGGCTGGATACTCTTCCTTCATATATATATATATATATATATATATATACACACAAACTACCTCAATCAGCATTGTGCCTGTCACCAAGGATGCACAGAGTAGTGCCGATACGAGAGGAAATTCAGGACCTTAATTTTCACTTGGGCTGGAATTACCTAAATTGCTGAAGAGACTGAGGCACCTACTCTTCCAGAAACTTTCCTAAACTTGTTTCTACCTCCAGAAATGCTCAGCCAGATATTTATGGGGAGAAACTGAATTTTCCAAATAGATGCTATTCTTCAATTCACAGCTTATTTAAATTAAAGTGAAAGAAGTATGGACTAAGCATTTGAATTTCAGTGTTCTTCCTCATAAGTTTTGCAGTCAAGTTTGCATTGTTTTTAACATGATGCTTGATAAGTACAGATGCTTACTGCATGCATTTTAATAAATAAAACAGGATCTTGTTTCCTCTGGACTCCTTGTGGTGCCTCTAAAGTCCCAAAGACAGAATTACTAATTTTTTCCTGCTTTTTCAGTTTCAAAGTGTCGGCAATAATATGGGGACTGTGTTGCAGCCCAGAGAGCCATTTTTAAAGCATGAAATCACCCTCTGTGTCTGCTGTCTCTGAAATTACACAAAAAACTTTGCCCAGAAAGTTACAGACGATGCAGTCCAGAGCCACACCAGGAATTATGGGAACGATCTGGATCATCAGTCATCAAGTATTCAGGTTTGTTCTCTGACCCTGTTTTATTTACCAGTATAAGCAGAGGAACAAGATCCTGCCCTGAAAACACTCCCTGACATATATGAATTTACTCCTATAAATTGTGTGAGTATGGAAGTACATTGATGGCTACCGATACAAATTCAAACTTTTAGGTTTTGTTTTATCCATAGGCAGATACTCAGCTAAGCACCGTCTGTGTTTTCTGTGGCAGCTACCTCAGCCCATCTGGGCCCAAAATCGCAGCCTCAGTGAATCACGAGGAACCTTTCCGTCAAGCTGATGGAAACAATTCTTGATATGCAATTAGTTACTAGATAATACGTGAAGAAAAGTTGAAATGATTCCTCCCAATTTGTACACTGGTATTATTTCAGGACTGAGGTCCGAAGCCACACTGTAAAGGTACTAGAACTTTAACATCAATTAGTTAATTTAAGTCAGAGATGGAATTACTATAATATTGTGAACACATAATTAAATTTTAAAGCATCCAGAGATAACGCAAGGAATGAAAGCTATATTTATTTAATGTATCTGTGTGTATGCAGGTGTGTGTGCATGCACAGTGTGGATATCTACACACGCATACTCTAATTTAAATATATTTTCTCCTCAGAAATGTCACTTCGATAAATCTTTCTTTGCATGCCTACTTTTTCTTATCACTTTTTGATGAATTTACTCTTGTGCATTGTTTCTAGCCATCCAGTCAAAACTGTCCACCTGCAAAAGGCTGCGCCGAGAGGCAGTCGCATGTTGTGATCAACAATCAAAGTAAGACAGGAAGCCAAATTATATTGCTATGACATCTGTCCGTCCATCTGCTGTAGTTTCTGTAATCTACTAAAGCCAATCTACAGATTATACTGATGTTTAACCTTACTGAAAATCAAGAATAATATCAAGAATACTTGCAACAGGATAAAAAGCACATGGATATTTAAAAAAAAAATTACTTTTAAGTGCACTGAAATTAAATAGAACTAAGTTGTGTTCCATGTTTTTTTGTGCACAGATAGGCTGACCAAAATTATTTCAGATACTGTATTGTACACAGTACATTCACATATGGATGTTAGTACTCCTATTTTAGGGGAAATAGCATGAAAAAGAAATGACTGTACTAAAAAGTAGCTACGTGCTTTTGTTTACTGAAGATACCTTAAGTCACTTTAATATTAAAGTTAAGTATTCCAGTGGTTTAATCTCCAATATTTTATTCTAATGCTTTCTTTTCTTTGTGAAACTGCTATTGTTTGTTGACATGAACATGTTCCTACTTTATTTAAATTAGTTTGAACAATTATCATTGTGTTTCTTATATCACCAAATACAAAAGTTTATCAGTTCCTGCACACGGGTAGTAGTTATAACAACTTTGTGTGGTAGGATGCCAACGCATTGCTTTCAGAATCCCCAAAGCTACAATCTTATTAATGCGTGACCATTTGGGATATGAATATTACTGGAAAGAGATCTCCTTTCAGTGTAGTTTCCTCTGGAGAAGGAAACCCAAGAGCAGGAGATGATCCCATACTGTCTGAACTGCGACATATATTTCTGTTGGACAAGAACCAAATACCATTGTAGAGAAGCCAACACCACCACCATAGTACCACCATCCCATGAGGGGAATGCACTGGGAAAATCAAGCTCTGTATTGGAAGACACTTGAAAATAAAGTACGGGAAATCAAAAAAGACAAAGCTTTCTGTATAAAATATTGCCACCTATCAAATATATTTATAAGAAATTGCTGTGATGAAGCCTGCTTTTAAGTTCTTTGCAGATCTGCATATGGTTTTGTCTCTAACGCACATGTTTCCTAGCTCTCAAGCTGAAAAAACGCAAATCCTATTTTTACTTCTGCCGTATGTAATAGCAGAATTTTGCCACAGGGTGGTACACCAGACATGTTTAACTGAAGGCTTTTGTAATGCATCAGACAGCTCGGGTATGCCCTCTGCCAGCTTCGCTCCACCAGTAACAGAGCAATCTGGACATCTCAGAACGACTGGCCATGAGCCAAAGGCATATATATTCAAATAATAAGACAGAAAAAACAGAAGAAACTGAGAATCTACTTGCAAACGCTAATAATATGCTGGTATTAATTCTACATAAAAACATTAATCGGGTTTTTATTTTTAAAGAATACACTTTTGTTTTATCTTGCTAACTAGAAAAATGAATCAAACTAGATGGAAAGGATTTACATTCCCAGCCAATAAACTTTCAGTTTAGATTTTGGCCTGAAGAGAAACTGTCCTGTGTCAATCATGAAACAAAAAATACAGCTTCTGGCATTGAAACATATCCTATTCCAAGGAGAATAAACACCTAAAATATTAACTAAGCTTTTAAATTATTTTCCTACTTACATTAAAATCTTTTATTAGCTTACTCTGTAATTTTAAATAAATTACAGAGTTTTCTTCCTATAAACTAACCTCAACATCTGTCTTCCTTGCCGCTATCCACCTTTTCAATTAAATAAATGGGGTTTGTGAACTTTACAATTACCTTTTCTAGGCAAGAGGAATACTTAGTGATTTAAGATAAGTAGAAACTGTTTCCTTAGGTACTAGGAACTTTAAATAAAAAAGTTAAGTAAGAAATATAGATTCCTACACCAATTCTTCTGCTTTGACTCATGGCTGAAGTTCTGGCCATGGATTTAAGTGATATTGTGGAACTCAAAAGTAAATTTAATTACACAGCGGTATTGAAATAAACAGGCAGAGAACAAGACCTCAGTTTGGAATTGGAATGTGATCATTTAGTAATGCAATAATAATTGAAATTACTTTCACAAAGCTTTTCAGAACTTAGCGACATATGATGAGACACAAAAGGAGATATTTTTTAAGAGGCATTTAGCAGTACTGACTCTTTGTCATAGTCAACTAATACTTTTTCATGCATCTTCGAAACTCCCCTAAGATCTTTCCTCTAGAGTCACTTCTTTCAGTCACGAGCAGGGCTCCATCTCACATCAAGTGAAATCAAGGACGCTTTTTCTGCCTCAAGACAGTTAATGATATTTTACCATTTTTAATCATTGTGCGGGATTCTATAAAATAGAAAAGCAGCCATCTCATGGAACCTACCTCTTTCGCACGATCTGCCAAGGTACCCTGTACCAGAGCAATCACAAACATATCTGTTCCACCCATCCCTGCACACACCATTGTTTTTACAGGGGTTGCTAAGGCAAGGTTTTGCAGTTTCTCTTGAGCATGAGGGTTTTACTCCAGCTGTACTTTGAATTTCAGCCATCTGTCGAATATCTTTGCTTTGACCATCAATAAATAAATCTCTAATGCAGCCGACGTATCCATAATTGAGAAGTGCTGTCCACACCTCTGTTGGGAAGACGAGGCCTGCTTTATTTTCTGGTAAGCCTCCAAGATACAAGTCATCATCCAAGTCAAGGATTTCACTTTCCCCTGGTGCAGTATATGGTGTACGTAATGTGTTCACAGATATGGTCCCTGAAAAGAAAAGACAATAAAATGCATGATTTTCAAGATATTTCAAAGATTTTGGTACTGCTGTTTTACTCATTAATCTACATACCACATTAGCTCCTGGCAAATATCTATAAATAAAACATAGGTATTCTATTTGTACAGCTGTACAATAATAGATGCACTTCGTAATTTTAATTACAATGTAGTACAAATACTGGCAGGAAGTGTAAAAACATTTATGCACAATACTGCATGGTCACAATATAAAAAAGTCAAAATCACCTTACCAATCTTGTAGGGGTAGGGGGAATGCATTTCAGAGTTATTTTCAGAAATATCCTGCTTGTGCAACAACAACAACAGCAAAATCTCTTGGCTAACTGATATGTGCTTCAGAGCATTAAGGCTGAGGTTGCATTGATAGGTTGCAACCTGGGAGGCAAATCTGTGTCTTTGGTTTGGATCCAAACACACAGTATTTTAAAAGACTCTCACCACTTTCAGTGGGCTTTGGATAAGACCTTTTTCTTTAAGTGCAGAAGGAAAATACTCTCATCAGCTGCCAGACAGGCAATCATTAAGAAGATGGGACGTACTCCTAGAGGGAAAAATCAATGCCTCTGACACTTACCTCAGAATGCGTGCATGTTACAAAGAGAGGGAGAGAAGATGTATATAGAAACTCAGGAAATCAGAAGTATATTTTCCACTTCAGTTTAAACAGTAAACAAACAAAATTAAGCCTAAAATAAAGTTCTGTTTCTACAAAGTGTCTGAACAAAGAAACTGTAATCAACTCTAAAGATTCTCTTTATTGTACTTTTTAAAAGCAATGAGGTATCCAATTTTTACAATCTGAATAGGCAGAAACCCGAATTTAGTACATGGAGTCACAGAACATACTTATGTCAACTCAATTTAATTTTATTTACTAAGTAAAATCACTTGAAAAAAGAATCTTCATGTAGATCTTCACAGAAGTGACTCCTTACCATTCTATATGGATGCAAAAGCAAGCAAAATATAAATCAAAATATTATATAGGTCACCAGATTATTATAAATGTACCAGCCACATTATACAACACTGTTATCCATTGGACACACTATTAAAAGTGTATTAATGGTAACAAGACACTGAAGAATCACATTTACCACAATGTATTTATCATACACTTATACATAAAACTAACACGATTCACTATTTCCACTGCCAGCATGACACAGTTTCCAGAAGATAGCACTGATTATCAAAAACACTTCCACTGTGGTGGGAGTGGTGCATGAAAATAAAATTCAGAATTTTGAGGTGTCAGTTGAATAATCACACAGATGTAAATTGAACTTCCAGTCTTAACTGTAAGAAATAGGCATGTTAACCAAGACACTTTTTCATTCAAACCTCCACCTGTTTAAAACTTGTAAGACTATTATATTTTGCTAACCCTAAGTATTTTTATTACTGCTCAGATTCTTGAAGCAAAACTTGGCACTCATATGGAAGACTTGCTATAGATTTGGCCTTAGGCATACAAGCATAAACATTTTGAGGTTTGATTTTATCAACCAGCTGCCTCAAACAAGGACACCTGTGAATGACCTGTTAAACCAAGATAGCTAACGTTTCTGAGAGCATCCTAGGTATCAAGAAGGACTGCTTAAAAGCAATAGATCATTTCTCCTTTAAAAAAAAATAAAGATACTGTAAATATAAGTCATATTTGTGCTCACAGTATTTCTTACTGCTATCGTTGCTTGCTCCCATCTGTTGCTGTACAGGCTAGTTTAGGACCAAATGCTTTAAACCTATGTTCAGGCAGCACTTGCACCCACACAAGTTAACTCAGCCGCAGCCTGCAACCTCAAGCTCATGCATTTGCACAGAGCTGCTTTCTGCTGGACAAAGACGTTTGTGTTTTCGAGCTATCCATGATACTAGAAGACACCTAGGGCTCCATTTCTATTAAAAAAATATATATATATATAAATTGACTAAGTCTTGATGGCTTTCAATGCACAGGAAAAGACAGGTAAATCTCAGCCAGTGTAGCTGTAACATTAACATGGCGTTCCACGTGGAAGTTTTGCAAGCACAGAAGGCTGAGAAAGGTGAATGATAAAGGGAACTGTAGATCACCACTACACTCTGGTGACTGTGAATTATAGCTAGGTGATAGATTGAAGCAGGAAAATGTTCTTCTCTATGTCATAAAGGATTACCCTGGAGAGAGCTTAAGTATTATTTTGAATAGATAGCAACAGCTTCTTAAAGAAATGAACATTTCCCCCTTCCCAAGAAATGACAGCACATAAAATACTCCCTGGGAGAAGCCCTCTGAAATCTTAGTGTAATCATACCATCTAACGACTATGGGTAGAAAAACATGAGAAGCAACAACTGTTGTGTGCATCTTTTTCATGTTTTGGAAGGCCATGGAACCCCTGTTATCCAGCTGGACTACCTCCAATTTACTGCTGGACATATCCATGACACTACAACTGACTGACATAGTGTATTACCCTTAATCAAACAACTGTAAGTTAGCTTTATTTAATCCTTTTTGTTGAGAGCTACACTAAGTCAAATAGCACCTGCAGAAGACTCAAAGCTTTAATAACTCACTCTGGCTCAGCCATTATATAGGAGCTTGACCAAAATATCATACAGCATGCTGTCTAGAACAAGAACTATGGCTATAATACAAATAGACTTTAGTCTAGCTAATAGCAGAAAACCCATGCCTGGGCACCAAGAGTTTCATGCTGTCAGTTACCAAGTTATCCTAGTTTCTATCTGAACTTCTAACAGCATGTCCAGGCAGCCATACAACCATCACTGCTGTTGGTATCCAAATTACCTTTTATGTACCTCCGATAGGTAATGCAAACTTTACTCACTAATTGCTTTGTAAATGCAGGTGAAAAAAATCCAAGAAAAATAAGGGGGAATAAAAGACTTCCAAAATAAATAAAAAATTATATGGTTTTTTTTCAAAATATCCTAAAATAAAATGCAGAACTAAAGTTCATACAACATAAGCCTACGTAAAGTAAATAATGCATCTATAAACACCTTTGGATTCACAGTGCATCCAGAGCTGTGACACAGAGATAGATTGTGCTGTTTCATCTGGCTGGGTTGTTTGTCGTTGTTTTTTTTTCTTGGGGGGTGGTGGTAGTGTTTGTTTGGGGGTTGTTGGTTGTTTTGCAGGGGTTGGTGGGGTTTTGTTTTGGTTTTTTTTAAGCCTGTCATCTTTCTTGAGGGAAAGTTTTCAAGTTCTACTGAAACCATCTCAAGTTGGAGCTCATGACAATAGCAGATGCTACCACAGAGTCCGGGGATAGTAATGCACACCCCCTTTGCTGGATTTCACTCCTACTTTCTCTTGGAATTGTAGGCAGATTAAAAGGAATTGTTCTGTCAAATCACCAGTGTGCTCCAATCTATTTGGATGTTTCTACTTACAAATGTGAAGAGACATCACCTTCTGGAGAAACGTGAAGATGGGAAGCTAACGGAGCATACAAATGTCTTATGTGGCCAGCACAGGAAAAGGTTAGTAATTTGCCCTGTAAAGTTAATATAACATCAACCCTTCTCACACCAGAATTATCAAGTTGGATAAGAGGGAAAAGAATGGAACACATCTCATTTTACAAAATAACCTAAGGACAACAGAATATGATGAGGAAGCAGCAGATTCAGAAGAGCGTTGCCCTTCCAACGGAAAGAGAAAGCTATAATCATAAATTGTAACGTCTCAGTTGTATCTTTGCATATTACCTAGCATAACAGCACCCATAACCAGATCAGTAGTTATACTTCTTTTTTTGAAAGAGGAACACTGGGGCAATAATGTCCGCCAGGAAACAAGCAGCTTCCTTGCAAAGTTTTTTAATACTCAAAGTAGGAAATAATGTCTATATTTTTACCAGAAAAAGAAAGAAACGGGAAAAAGCTGATAGCGTTTGGTTTGTCCAGCCTGAAAAAAGAAAAAGGGGAAGACTGAAAGACAAGAAGGCACGGGATGATTTATTTAGTCTGGGAATTCATGGTCTAACTTCAGACTCTAAAAACAGGTAGCATTTTTTAACTCCAGAAACTGGACATATATTTAAAGGTCCTGTAATGACCTACAGGTGCTCTGATTCTACAGCATTTCACCTGAGAACAAAGTGAAATTTAAACATTCAGAAACATCTTTATGTATTAGAGGAACAGTTTGAGAAAAACTAATGAAATCATGATTTTCAGCAAAAATTATTGACTTAAAGGACAACTGATTAGTGGGCAGCTCTTCAAAGGAAGAGCCAACAATGTAAGTAACAACAACATACATAAGAGCAAAATAGGAAATGTATTGAGAGGTATAGAGAAGCCTATTGTACCACTTTACTGAGCATTGGTAAGGTTTATCTTGAACTCTGAGAAAGATGCAGATCAGCTGAGAAGACTACAGAAAATGGCAATAAAAATGGTCAATAGCTACGGAACATTACATATAAGGATAGGAAGCAGCTGGGGTTTCTTAGTCTATGAAGAAAACTGGAGACTGACATAACAGCATCCAAATCATAAAAAGTATAGAGCTATGACACGGGAAAAAAGCCTGGTATATTTTATGCCTGCTGTGAACAAGGAAATTATGGACAAAATGGCTTGTTTTGTATACAGAAATACTCAGTTTATGAATGATTACATGGGGAGGCTGTACAGTGTCCATTGCTGGAGGTAGCTCAACAAACATCTGGCAAGACTGACACAAGTACACTGTCACTACTTTCATTGGAGGAATAAAATAGAGGACCTCTCAAGGTCACCCCATCTCAATTTTTCTAGGACCTCATGAATAAAGGAAAAACAGTAACAGCATCATGGGAAGAATTTTCCTTAAAATGCAATATAACCCCATTATCTCAAATACGTAAACTATTAATGTTTGTTGAAACAGAAACGTGTAAATCTGGCAGTTCTTAAAAGGCTGGAAAGATGAGGGAAAGAGTATATAGAAGTGTGCATGTAAAAAAAGAACCTGCAACAACAATGCATGTAATGGATATCAAGAAAGTACCACTTATAGTGAAATACTGATTATAGTTAAGCTCTAATTACGTACTCTAAAGATAATTTCTCATATTTAAGCTGAAACTCTAACTTTAGTTCAAAATTTCAGTGACTTCTTAGCCTTTAAATGCTACCTACCTATGAATACATTCTGATACATTCTGTTTTACACTGCCAGACACAATTGGAGGTTGACAAGAAGAGTAAGTTACCTCTCCAATTTCACTGTGTAATGATGATTTCCAAAGGATGAATGGTGGTTTAGTCACAAAACACTTGCAAGTTTATCCTTGAATATAGTAAACAGTTTAACAAAATTTTAAACAATACTCATGTCTAAGAAAACACTTATTAAACCTAACTCTACTGTGATACAAGAAACACTGTGAGCAAAGACCTTTCGAGTTGCTTGATGGTTTGTTTTGTTGTTTGAGGTTTTTTTTAGTTGGGGTTTGTGTTTTTTTTTGGGTTTGTTCCCCCCCCCCCCCCAATTCTTTTACTGCAGAATTGGCAGTACTGTTAAGAGCAGAACAGGCAAACATTTCCCTTAGGTATGAGTTAATGAGCCTCTCCAATCATATTCATTATCTCAGCAATTTACTTTTTCACAAGTCTGTGTATAAGAAACTAAGACATATTTCTAAACCTTCTCTCAATTCTGATCAGTTAAATATGAAGATTGTAACTACAGCTACTACAACTATACTGATCTCTATGCTTACCTTACACGGCCTATTTAGTTGCTTTTTGTGCATGTGAAATACATTTGCTTGTTAAGAAACAGTGAAAAATCAGTGCAAGGTATTCTAAATACACTTTAGATCTTGTGTGCTAAAGCATAATATAATAGCTGCGATGAGGACTGTGATACAGCCCGTGGCCAAGACAGGGAACATGTGAAGCAGCTGTGAAGCTACTGTCCTTCACAGGAATCCAGGATAACCATGAATACTGGAAGGGAACTCAGCTCACGTGACAGGACGCAGCAGTTGGGACCAGGTTGTCTCCTCTGCTGTATACTTTGCAAAAAAGACAGACTGCTGGAGAACATGCGTTCCCTTTCCTCTGCTGCAAACTTAGCAAGAAAGATGGACCAATGAAGAAGGTACGAAATCTTTCTTTACTTAACACTGGGAAATAGGGTCGCAGGAGTTTTTTCTCACCAAAGATCTGCTTTTTAGGTAAGGAAGCATTCAGAGTAGCTCTTACAGACAGCAGGATGGGATTCTAGGGTGAAAAACTTCTATAAGAATAATAGGTCAAAAGTTCCTTCAGTATCTCTTCCCTCCTCCTTGTATCTCCCAAATCTGAGGTGATCAGTCAGTGAACAGGGCCTGGAGGAGTACAATTTAAAAATGTGCTCTCATTCCTGACATCTCCCCCACTGCAGTCCCAGACAGGCAATGGCAAACTCAGTAGTTTAGAGTGGATGCTCCCTGTGACGGAGAGCCAGGAAGAGAGCAAAGAATGAAAAATAAATCGAGGACTTGCTGATCCAGCTAATACAAAAGTCAAGGAAATTAGCAAAGCTCCTTGAGAAATGTCACAGCTTTCTATTATCTGAGGGAACCACTCTGCATTGAATTTGAATGCTAGGAGCAAAAGGTGGCAGGACACCAACCTTCACTAAAAAAAAAAAAGACAGGTTATTTGAGCTACTTATTAACAGAAGAATCTCTTGCTTTATACTTGATAGGTTGGGAAGTATTTTGTCAGCAGCAACAAAAAAGTGTCAGAAAAGCCCAATTTTTTTTAATACAAGGTATATTCATTCACTTATACAAAAATTCTGAAGGTAAGCAAGTGAAAAGTGATCATACTCATATGATTTCCAGTATGTTTGGTTTTGGCTAGAAAAAATAAATGAAAAAGCTTCCTGGAATAGTAAAGTGGATTTTATTATTCATGGAAAAAAGCATAATAGAGCAACATGCATAAATCATGAAGAAATAATCTAAACATAACACATTGGTACTTCCTGTTCCAATCAGAAGAAAATAGGAACATACAGTTCGTTGTTTATTTTAATTGTTAGATAGTCATTTTACTTGGGTAAATCTGATAGTCTAAGATACTAGTCAGCCAATATTCTCATTAAGAAAAATAACAGCATTGCCACTGTTATTGGTACTTCTCCTACTGTAAAGTATTATTGTGTGTATTAAAATCATAGAAAATCTTTGATGTCTGGTTCAGATTTCAGCCAATAATTCAGTTCGTCACTCCGTATGCCTACATATTTATTAACTATTCCTGGTAATATGTCAACATTTTAAGAAGGGCAAATAGGTACTATGGTCAGTTTTCAAGAGTGACAGGGTAAATAAAGTTCATCCATCTTGATCATAGGTGATTCATCAGCTGCATTAATTTTTCTTTTACATGTATATTTGACTATTTATAATTCTACTTAAAAATAATACGCAGTCCTGATCAGCAGGTGTGTATTCCTTCCTACAAGTAGTTTACATTCTTGCTGATGTCCATCAACAGTTTTAAAGCATTAAAAGAGTTTAGGGCATACTTTGTTTAATGGCACTTATGAGCTACAGTTTTTCTGAAGCAATGAGAGTGCAGAGCATATTTTCAAGTGTAAACAATTGCTATGCATTTATTTCTTTATAGTTGTGTTGACTTTGTATGCAGGAACAAACTTTGCTTTCAGTGGAGTCCCACAGGCATGATTATTACAGGATTTACTGCCCGATATGAATCACTGAAACAGCACTTAAGGAGGAAGCCTGAAATGAAGATTGTAGTATAAATAATATAACGGCTAGATATTCAATCACAACTGAGGATTTTGAGAAGTTGTGTGTTTTGTTGTTAGGGTTTTTTGTTTGGTTGGTTTGGTGGTTGTTTTTTTTTAACCTCAAGAAATGTAAATAAGCAACCAACATATTATACTCAGAAAAATCAAACCCTCTACAATTAGAATTTGAAGCTGCATATCCCAGGAATCAAATCATTCTTTTTCATAATCCTAGGGCAGACTGATCAATTGAATTTGGTGTGACTTTCAGCATGGATTTGACTGAAATCTTCAATTTAAACCTGCACCTAAGATTCACTTGGTCTGAAATCTGATTTGTGGGTAGTAAGAAAGTCATAAAACAATAACTTTGGGGGGTATGAAGTTTCAGAAAGAAATTATAAATGCTAGTCATGGAAAAGGAGTCAACAGAAGGAATAAAGCGGGGAAAACCACAAAATCCAAAAGAAGAGGAGTTTACATTTTTCAACACTCAATTTCAGAGTGTACATAAACTTCAGATTGAATCCTGATATTAATCAGAAAACTCTCTGATCTACTGAATTAGAGACACAGTACATTTCCCCCTGCCCCCAAATCCTGGCGTGAACTACAGGAAAGATAACATAGAATAGATTTGGCCTTGAATTAATGGATATTGATTATTTGCTGAAGTCAAGATATATACTCAAGATCAGATGCAGCTGAAACACAAGGACAGTTATAGTTTATGCTGTAACAGATTTCAGCAGCATTAGGAAAGAGTTTATGAATTCTTTATATTTACCCTTTTCAGTGAGATCATTTGTCAAGAAAACTACTACAGAATACGAATCATACTGACAGCATACAGCAAGTCACTTATTTCCATTTCTGCTGATATGTGTTGGTAGCCGTTCATTAGCATATCATTTAATTATGCTGAGATCTGCTGACATGATTGGAATTTCTGTGTTGTTTCCATGGGCCAACTATCCTCTGTGTTGGAGATTACTTTCGGTAATTCTTTTTTGCTTTATTTTTATTCTTTCTTGAAACTTCCCACTTCAGCTATTTGGTGTAAGCAAGCACAGAGGAAGATTACTGTTTGTTTTTGAAGTACACAGCACACTTACTTGCAAGATTAAGTACCTGATTACCCAATAAATGTTAATGTAAGATATTTTACTCCGCAAATCACTTTGTTCTGGTACCTGATACTAATAACTTCTTATATTTCCCTTTTTTTTTTTTTCCAGATGATGCACAACTCTAGTGGTGGCAACATTATACATACCCAGTATTCTCTCAGATGCAATGTGAAAAAACATACTGAATATTAAAAAAAGAAGCTTACCTGACCGTCCATCCCGTTGAAAATCCACATGGTACCATTCACCATCGTTTACCTTCTTCTGCAAGGCTTTTATTTTTATAGTACCTGATCCCATGTCTAACAGCAGGTAGAGGTGGCCATCAAGCATCTCAATGGCAAAAAAGTCAACTTTCACCATCTGTGGGTGTTTGGCGTCTTTTTGATGCCTTGGTTTTCCATGACTGAAAAGAATCAAGCCATTTGGCTCAGTTGTACGAAAGTCAAATGATATCGAGCCTGTTTTCTTGGCATTCCACTTTGGCAAAGAGATGAAGGACTCTGGTGTTTCAAATGTGATTGGATCTAAGGTTGCAACATTCTCACATTTAAATGCTACAACCCCATGAATCTTCATTTTAGGATCTCCTTGCTTGGCAAGTCGAGATAACTCCAACCTGACATCGTTATTTTTATAAACAACCTGCAAGCAAAGCAAAGAAGTTACTAAGAGGAACTTGACCATTTTAAGCAAACAGATATAATCCTGAATAGGCATATTATTTAAAGGACAATAATGATGTTATATGAATATGATAATTTACATATACACAAAATTAAGTAACTATTTTCATTGACTAATGATTTAATAACAGTTTTCATTAAACCAAAGTTGCTCTAAAAATATCCCTAGAGTCAATTCAAACAATGTGAAAGAATCTGCACATAATTTATACTATCAGTTGCAAATTAGCTTGCGTAGCCTTGATTGCTTAGAAGCCCTCTTTGCGCAGCCATTCTGCTACGTTAGAGAAGCACTGGAGTTCTTCTTTCTCTAAACCCTTTGTCACTGTCTTAACTCTTCTGTTCATGTACAGAAAATGTACCAAGGTCAGATACTTTATAATTTAACATCTTTTCAATTTGTCCTTGGGGCTGAGGAATAGTAGCATCCAATGGTACTCATGAAGCTGTAAAATAGGGAAACTAGTATCATACTGCTCAAACCAGACAAAACCAGGACGATCTTTGAGCCCGTTCAATTGGACAAAAAATAAACCCACTTATGTATTTTCCATGACAGAAGATTTTTCTGATAAAAATGAAAGGCAATATTAGTTTTAAATCCAACTGACCTCCACAGCAAACATTCTTGCTTCAAGTCACATATTTACTCTGCCCAGAGAAGCCCGTCATGATATAACCAGTTCCCATGGTTCTAGTCTTTATTGGTATATTCTAAAATTGCTGCTATTTCTGTGGTGTCCAGGATATAAGGACTGCTTAAATGAAGCTCCCAATAGCAAAAGTGTACACAAGTATTTTGTCATTTATCGAATAATTAAAAATATTGACATGTTCAAGCTAAAATACCACTGAAGAGCTGAATATGAATGCATGGTGACAGAAGCTAAAACCTTCTTCTCTTTCTAAAGTTAAGCCTACATTAGAAAGCAATTTGAAGCAAAAGCAACAGCTCAGCAAATCAAAGCACTTTGTGCTGAGGCTTCTTAATCTACAGATTCTATACCATTCAGGACTAGATCATGTCTGGCCCCTGATCCAGTGTTCCATCTATACAACGTAGTCTGAAGCTGTTCAGGGGAAAGTGCTTACTGAATCCTTAGGGTAGAGTTTCTGGATTAATTTCCTCTGAAGCCTAGCTTGAACACAAATGAAACCCACTCTGCAAAATGAACTGACACACAGCAAGTGGAAGAGACAGGGTATGCAGCGCAGAACTGTGCTACTGTTAGAAATCAAAACACTAGCAGACACATAATCTAAGATGGCATACCCCACAAGTGGTAGCTGCTATTCAAAAATGGTGTTTAAAGATAACAATGCTAAAGAAATGATTGATAGATTGACAATTTTTTACTGTAAGAATTGTTTTCTTTCAAATTACATCATTATCCACCCAGCATATTTCATCATAAGCCATGGCAGAATTATTCTACTACATTAAAAACGTGTCCTAAAAGCTAATAAATAAGCCTATTTCTCCATTTTATTTCACAGTTCAGTACAAATACTGCTGTTCCCACTGGAGCTGTGTCTCCAAAGACAACAAATAAACCTTACTGTGGATTCCTGACAGCAGAAACGATACTCTGCCAGAAAGAAGCAGGGAACACGACTTCACTTATAAGAAGGCAACACATCAGAAGTGACTAGAATCAGACTAACTTGTAATCTTAGAGAATAAGGATCCATATTTGTATTTATCAAATACTTCTGTAACACCTCTGAGATTGCAGATTACGTGAAGGAATTTAGAAGACTACTGGAGAATAAGCACATGGACTGGGGTGACTGTCTTTAGAGTGAAGAAAGCCAAAAGGCAGAAAAATGCAGCAAGAAGTCAGTAGCCTGGCAGGCAATATTACTTGGAGATATCTGGCCTCATGAAACATTGGCCACTTTCTATGGCAAGAGGGATTTTGGATAGCTTCCACCTCATTTGAAGGAGTTACAGGGGGCAACCTTTCTAGAACAGACTGAAAAGCATTAAACAGAGGCTAGAGGATATGATAAAAAAAAGGAACAAATGGGGTCTCATTAGAATTAAATCATGCTCTTGACAATGAAAGTAATTAAGGCAACAAAGAACACAAGGAGAAAATATTCTTTAATTGCCTGCTGAACAAAGGTAGGTACCAGGACAATACAAATAAATGTACAAAGAGAATTTCTTGTTTATGGACAAATTCAAGTTGTCTGATATTAATGAAAGCTGGTTGACTGAATAATAAAATTAGTAGTTAATAGCTATCTCAGAAAAACTGAGCAAACAAAAGGAGACCTAAGCTTTCCTTGATGTCTAAAACAGCTCTATAGGCTTTGAAGTCATTTGCCAACTCGGAAACAATAATTTTTAATAAATACAGTCCAAGGACCTGATGGACAAAGTGCAAACAGGAATACTGGCAATAGTTTTCTCGATAACTCATCACCAGCTCTTTAATCAGCTTAATAGCTAACATATGAAGGAAAAATTGCTACAGCACTTTCATAAGAGTGGCAAATACTGGGAATTCTATGCCACCAATATTAAAATGTTATTGGAATCCCTGAATATTGCATATGACAATTTCTTACTTCCATATTCCACAATTAAATCTTTGTAGTTACTGAGATGTGAATGATTGCATCTTACTACATTCATTGTGTGGAAACAAAATTAAGTCTACATCTATGTTTTAGAGTGTTTATGTTCTAAGTTTTAGGATGTTTCTACTCTTTTAATCTTAGGAAATTGAAAATTTGGAACTGAATTATCATGGATAATTTGTATTAAAACGGGAATATATGAGCCATAACTGAAAACCATAATTGAAAAGAACTATAGACTATTAACTGAACACAGCTGGTGTTTGGAAGACCATTTCCCGGCGTTATGCTGAGATTCTTACTACTGTCCCTATCCATGAAAGATGTACTCAGCCATCAGTGAAGCACAGCAAAAAGGAAAAAAGCAGTATGCACACAAAAAGTAGTAGTCATTAAATTTTGGGAAAAAACTGAACAGGAAGGAATAATTCTGAGACTAATCTCTGCTTTATAACACTTGGAGGTATACGCTTCAGAATTGATAGCCTCTAGGGTACAAATAATTTACTCATTATTTTCCAAAGATTCTGCCTTCTAATTTTATTTTTTTTTTCCCCTTCTGGGTACATAAGGGCAAACATGCTTTTAGTAGGTCTTATATTATCCACCGCTATTTCCATCTAAGACACCCAACATATTGTTCTTTAACGTTAACTCGATACATTCTCCCTCTAAGAGAGACATGGAACTGCAATTAGTCAAGTGAAGGTAATTTGCAACGGAGAAATATGTGAGTCACATTCACCTTTACTCCTACACAACGTACCAGTCAGTATCCTTGCATCGCTATGTGCTTTCCTAGCATCTATTGGGCTGGCCCTGTTAATAACTTGATTGCTCTCGCACTCTCATACCTGAGCAACAATGATAAAATTTTCCTGCACATGGAACTGCAGCCCTCAGGGAATTGTCTCATGCTATGAAGAGCACCTTGAATTTGTCTCCTATTCACTGTATTCTTTCCTCTTAATATTAAGTAAGGTTGAAGACCTCAGTCTCTAAAATATGTAATTACCTCATTCTTGGAAACTGCAAAAGGTCACCTAAACTCCCAAGAAAAAAGGAGCAGTTAGCAATTCCCTGCATAACTTGCAACCGAGCTATCCAAAGTAAGGTATAAATTTGTTTTCCAGGAGATAACGGGCAGACCTATATATAATTTTACAATCAAGATATGAGCTCCCTTTACTACCATCTAGGCCAACCACATGCCAGGTAACTTACAATATTATAGTGCTGAGTCTTAACAAATAAGTCCAGCTAAGAGACAGCAAATATTAACTTAAGCTCAGCACTCTCTTTAAAGTGGTCTGTGGTCATCTTGGAGCACAAGCAAAATTAATTCATGCTTCCCAAAGATATATCATGTATATAATTTATCGCAAGCCAAGGCCCTAGTCTGCAATGAACTCTATTAAGTATTCACTACAGAACTTGCCAGTTGTCATGGCAGGTGCCTTCAACAACAAAAAAATGTAGCAGAGCAGCCAATGAAAATATATGAATAAATTGGCGATGTATAAACGTATGAATGACTTTGAGAAAAGGTGAAGGAGAGACAAGGGATTTCCTGTTGATATGAGAGATGTATCCTAAATATACAACAGTTCAAACGTCAAATTAAAAGTCAATATAACAGAAACATCAACAAAACCCTACCAGTTCTTTCTACTGACCCTATCCCATGAAATGTAAAACCATGAAAGATGTGAAAGGATCTAGATTTCAAGACCATTTTCAATTCAAAGTGCAGCCCTTTCCACATTAAAGATTCCTTTTTGTATTTTGTACATCAAATACTATACGTAAAGAAATGGCATGACTCAAATATTTCAGAATACTGACCAACTCTGCTAGCAATAGCCTTTCAATCGCTGTGATTAAAAGCCTTTAAATGACTATGAAGCATTTCTTTCAAATTACTTTATATTATTAAAACCAAATACGATCCTTAAGGAGCTAACTACTTAACTTAATTTGCAGCATCTAGGTTTCCTTGAGAATCAAAGAGAAACCAGGAGTTCAGAGCACCTACATTATGATAGTGCTCTGAAGAGCTTATCTATTTACTTAATAAGGAGGTGAGGAAGAAATATTTTCCAAATGCAATTTGAATGAATGGATGAATCCAGTCTCTAAATCTGTTCAAAAAGTGAATCATATAAATCCTTATGCTACCATAAAGCAGTATTTTCATGTTTTCCTGAAACCTGGATCACATAGTGCAAACAATGGTGTTTAATACTCTAAAATGGAGACTAGTATCATCCAAAATGGCTCAGGTAGGTGCTGCTAACCTACAATTTCATGCTGCACAGGGAAGTCAGCGGGAGATAACTTACTGATGTCAAAAACTGTAGCAATAGGACT